CAAACCCCACAGCACCCAAGCAGGGCAAGCAGTGCAGAAACAAAGAGGGCAGCTCAAGTCCAGATCGTGAGGTAAACTGACATAGCACAACAATGTCTGAGCAAACCCAAGCCCAAACCCAAACCCAAGCCAAGGCCAAGGCCCAGGCCCAGGCCAAGGCCCAGGCCAAGGCCCAGGCCCAGCCCTGTATGCCTACAACACAGGTCAGTCAAGTAATGAAGGCCCAGGCCTGCGTTTAAAATGGAGCCCATGGGCAGAAGGTGTGGGTGGAGGTACCAAGAAGCCCTTTTTGGCCTTCAGGGAGCTCAGGGGGGCTTCTTTTCTATTCTACACGGGGTGATTGTGCAGAAGGGGCCAGGTCACATGCTGGTCTTTATGTACACAAAGAATTAAGAGACCTGCCTTTAGGATAGTGTGAAAACAACCCTCAAATTAATATGACCTTAGGGAAAAGGAAATGTGATATAATCAGTATATGACTGAACATTTGGATGTCCTATGTACGTGAAAACTTGTATGTTCCATGTCACAAAAATTCTTGCAACCCCCAAAATAATATTAGCAGAAATACCAGTCACAGCAGTGTTAGGCATGAACAGTGTTAGGCTGTGCTATACAACATATAAAGTAAAAACTATGTTTAAAATGTCTTTCAAATTATCTTAATTTTACATACTCTGGCTTTTTTTAGAGCAGCTGCACTTTTAATCTGAAGCAGTTCCTTTTCCTATTCAGCAATGTTATCTTGTATTTTCTTAATGTTTAATGACTATAACTATTATATTACCAAAGCTGCTGGTAGACAGTTTACGGAATTTTGTAAGATGTAAATGATACCTGAGAGTATGCTAAGTGTTTAAAAAAGATTGGAGATTAGTCCAAAAAAATCTTGGATTAAACTATGGAAAATCCTGAAATCTTTCTAGAAAGTTGCCTTTCTCAAATGTGCTGCAAGTTTTGTTTCTGCCAAGGATTATTTTTACAAGGCTGCTCTCTACTAATGGAGAGGCCCTCCATGATGCTGTGCCTGCTACTGACTGCTCAGGGTTTTGTTTTTCCTATTCACTATTCATACTAGATTTCGAGTTGTTTTTGTGCCCGTGAAACTGAAGACTAACAGTCTCTGGAGCCAAGCATAGTCTCTTTGTTGGGTAGAAATAAAGCCTACAGGAGAGGATGGATGTGCTCAGCGTCCCAGCAAGTGGCTTGAGATGAAGTGATATTGGCAGGATTCAGACTGAAATTATTACAAAACATGAATGCCACATGTGCAACTGCTGCCTGGCTGTTTATGTGCTTCTCTCCTTTTGTTAAAAAGTGCTATCTTAAAAAAATAGTAATAACCTTGATCTTGTGCCATTGCTATCTGAAAATTGCAGGGTCTTATAGATCCCAGAATGAAAGATCAAGGGGGAAAATGATTGTTCTGCCAAACATGAAGCTTTTATAATGACAGTATTATGTATTGCTTCCACAGAACAAGCCTTCCATTTAGCTTAGCTTGTACACTAGCTTTACCAAGAAGTTTGGTGACATGCTGTCTCCTTCCCAAAACAATCTGAGAAAACTTCATTAACAATGGTAATTATTCAGGCCTGGCAGTAATTAATAGTAGATTGGCATAATTTCAGTTTTATTCATTTCAGTTGGGTTGTGCTAATACAAAGATACATGGGATTTCCTTTAGGTTAGATAATCACACTAGATTTTCTGATATTAAACTGAAGAAAAGCACTGTCTCGAGCCAGTTACAGGCAGGCTCCCTCAAGCCTGCCAATACATCTCAATGCTAGTTGTGCTATCCCTGTTAGTCAGTCCTGGGTTTGTCAACAAGAAGTCATGCCAGCTGAGTAGTGGTTTTGTGATAAGAACAGTTGGAAATTAGTGCGAGATCATTTTCACCTTAGAAAGAGTTTGAATTAAGTTTCAAAAATGAAAAGCTGGTACTTACATCATAGTCTCTTGTTCCCCTTTTGTGTAATAACGTTCGGGTCTTCTACCATAACCTTTGTTATTCCAAGTATCATTCTTATTAGTATAAATTCATCATAAGCATGTTAATCTCAGAGTCATGAAAGCTAAATTAAATTCTTTACTTTGCCAGAAATGTTCTAATAGTAGTGCAGATGACAGAAGATGAAAATATCTTAGTAGATATTCTTTTGTCTGAAATTAGAAGCAAGGGCATTACTGAAATCTAATTGCATTCCTTGATCCAATGAATTGTATTCAGTACTGAACTGGCATCATTCCTGAAGACCAATTGCATTCCTTAGCCCTGATACTCGTCAGTAGAAAGAGCAGCTAATATTATTTCTTTGGTAATGTTACTCATTTTGGAATTGGTGCCGCCTGCATCCTTGCAAAATCTCATTTATCACCACACACTCAGGCATGACCTTCTAACAGACTTTTCTAGGACAAGTCTGGTGGTTGTTATAGAAAATGCATTTCTTTGGCATCGCTCCAGAAAGCTAGGTATTTGGAACCTGGCTTCTAAGTCCAACCTGCTTAATGTCCTACTCCTTTTGTTGAATTAATATTCTTCAACAATATCATGACAAACATGACCTCTTAAGCTCTTCTGTTACTGTATTAGATTTCAGTTTCTCCACGACTTTATGTTCTTACCCCTGATTAGCTTTTTCTCTCTGAAGATGGCTTCTCTCCTAGCACACCTCTTGTAAGTTGTGCCTTCCTAACAGCCAGTAGGTGGAATCATTCTGGTGGCTTGATGGCCTTTAATACTTTTTTCCATCTCTTGGTTTATATAAAATATATGCAGTCTTGGTCTGCAGTACAGTGCTATGCAGGTACTGTACTAAGATACTGTTTATCAATGGTTAACAGAATCTAAGGAAGCTATATTTCCATAATTCTATAGCTTCATATTTTGGCTTACCACATACAACAGTCATTACCACATACAACAGTAATACAACAGTGTGTTGCCTTGATTCTGAATCACCACAACTCAGGATGAGTTGTACTTTGTTAATTTTCAAATGCTGCACCATATTTAAGTAAATTGAAAATGCTTGTTTTTTTGTCCTATCTTTGGGGGTGGGGTGGGGGTGTAAGGGGGTAATGTAACAAGGGGATTACTGAGATAGCCATCAGAAATCTAAAATAGCATTTTTCACCTTTATTCTTTTGAAGTGGTGAGATATATTTCAGTAATTTTAAAATCCTGTCCTTAGAATAACAAGTGTGATCATGATGACATATAAATAGAGTATTTATTAATTCATCAAATTTATTTTTTTATTTACTCTGAAGAACTATATGTCACATTTTGTCTTTTTTCCTCTAAAATTTGCAAGTTCTTTACAAGCACTTATTAAAAAAAAAAAAAGTAAGAACACAGTTTGGTTTTGAGCTCATGTTTGATGATGATTCTAATTTCTCTTCAACTGAACTGCGACCAATCTAGGCCAAATTTACAGAGATGTTTTGGAGATAAATAGTTCTGTTCATGTGTTAGACTTGCTCTGGATTAATCTTTTTTGCATATTTCAAAAAACTATGTTTAAAGAAAAAAAAATCCCAGTTTTATATTAAGGAATGTTTTAGTAATAAGAAAGAACCTTCTTTTCCTTCTTTTCCTCTACACAGTAATTTCAAATTGTTTTTTGTTTTTTGTTTTTTTTATAATTTTATTAGTTTAAAAATTATGCTCTGGAGGATATTGGACTCTATTACTCCTTTGGACTCCATTGGTAACCACATACTCATTCTTTGAGTTATTTTCATCTGATTCTAAGTTTTGACCATAGTTCTGAACAGACAGTTTCATCTGACTCAATTACCTGTGCTATAATAAGATATTTTACATTCTAATATTGTTGCACATGTAAGAGTAGTTCCCATTTCTTTATAGTTCTTGCTGAATTTTATGTTCATGACTCTGCTTCTCTCCCTTCGGTTTTACCTCTACTGATGATACAGAAGTGATTCAGAGTCTATGACCAACATTTTTTAAATTGAAACCAAAGATCATTTACCTCATTCACACTACTAGCACAACGCAATTTCAAATTACTCTGTATTTTCTATAAAGTGATTGTGAAGAGATACTGTAGTACGTCAAATGCTTAGGCAAACATTTTAAATGTAGTTTAATGCAGGCTTTTTCAAAGTGCTTGTATTGAATAATTTTTGATTTTTGGACTTTTGATTTTTGATTTTCTTTTGAAAGAACTTTTTGTTACAGTAGCATGTTTTAGATGGGTCTTATCCAGAGGGATAAGCTCATACAGGTTTTTTTACAGCTAAAGGACAAAGGGCTTTTTTGGTGTTGATATGATGCTGATTTTCACATAATAAATCATCAGAAGAAGAGAAAGGAAAAGAAAAAAGACAGGATTTGAACTAATACAATCTGTGCTTTTCAAAGTGTCTGTAATTTCGTTTCAAATGCCCCACAGACACTTTACCGAAGGACATATATTCTTGACGTGATATAGCTTAGAAGTTGCAGAATCCATAGCTCTTTTTAATCATCACTTCTATTTTGTGTTTTCTGAAACTTTTTTATTTGTATGCTGTATTAGGATAGACTCATGGGTTCTAAAATAATAACTTATAAGAAAATTAAGTCCACACACATCAGAATTACAGGAACATGGGTGAAAGTTTGTCAGAGAGGTTTTGGCATATCCATGCTTGGATTTGCCCCAAAATTTGGCTGTATACGTGTCCTGGTTTCAGTTAGAATTAATTTTCTTCCTAGTAGCTGGTGGAATGCTGTGTTTTGGCTTAGGATGAGAAGAGTGCTGATAACACCCCGATGCTTTAATTGTTGCAGAGCAGTGCTTATACTAAGCCAAGGACATCTCAGCCTTTTGCTCTGTCCTGCCAACGGGCAGGCTGGGGGTGCAGGAAGAGCTGGGAGGGGACAGACCCAGGACAGGTGACCCAAACTAGCCAAAGGGGTATTCCATACCATCTGACGTCATGCTAAACAATATATAGGGGTGGCTAGCCGGGGGAAGGGGGCCGGACTGCTCGGGGTTAGGCTGGGCATCGGTCAGCGAGTGGTGAGCAATTGCATTGTGCATCACTTGTTTGTACATATTATTATTACTTTCCTATTATCACCATTGTATCATTATTATTATTATTGTTATTATTATTTTTGTTATTATTATTTTCCTGTCTTATTAAACTGTCTTTATCTCAACTCACGGGCTTCACTTTCCATTTCTCTCCCCCGTCCCAGAGAGGGAGGGGGGAGGGTGAGCGAACAGCTGCGTGGTGTTTAGCTGCCGGCCGGGTTAAACCACGACAATACGCAACTTAGATTTTGGGCCTGATTTCAAAGTAGACCCTACTTTGAGCAGAGAATTGGAATAGATGACCACCAGAGATCACTTCCAACATGAATTATTTTATAATTCAGAGCATGCATGATTACTATAGAAGGAGTCATCTTCTGGCAAAACAGTCTTATAAGGATCTATCTATTAGGAATAAAAACTAATATTAAATTTCTAGTTCTAATTTTCTAATTCTAAAATTCTATCTCTGTGTTCAGAATTTGGGTGATACTTAAAAACTTGATAAAACGGAAATATTATCCACTTACTTTATGATTACTGTGTCAGGTCTACGTTACTGTGCACCTAATTTTCATAGTCTTTTTTTTTTTCCTATCTTCTGACTGAGTATAATTTTGTAATCCAATGAGATTTATTTTTTTTTCTTATTTCCTTGTGTAATTGCTCATTTGGTGACTTTGTGTTGAGCTGCTTTTTGGATATAGGCATTGTCAAGAAAGTTTGGTCTAGTGAATCCTAAAAACTTATGTATTCACAGAAAATATATCTAATAGAAAAACAAAAATGTATAAGCCTAATTATTTAAAAATGGGCTCAGACATATTCTCTGTTTATTCTGTTTGTGTAAATGGAGAGTTGCTTTAATATTTCCAGCAAGATGTCTTCACAATATAAGTGTATATAACTGGTTATCAGAAGGATAACATTTTACTGTAGCGTACGAGCAAAACCAGCTCTATTATACTGGACCATTTATTTCTTTTTAGCTAACACTTCCCTATAAGACACCTACATTTCTGAATTCTATTTTGAGGTAACTAAGTGACGGTTTGTACACTTTATATATTTTTCTTTAAAATTCAAAGGATTTTTTTTTGTTTTCTTTAAAAATTGCTTATGGTTTTGTCCTAACAGCATTCAAATTCAAGAGGAGCTGTTAATGTCATCCTCTCAAACTGCAACCATGGATTCTATGTTGGTTTTTTTTTGAGGAATATGACTCATTTTCCAACAGCCTCAGATTATAAATTCACATTTTCTGAGAACACAGAGTCCAGTCGTATATTGTATACAGTAGACAAGTATTATTCTTCAGGATAGCTAGGTATCTAGATTAACTCCACAGTGAAGATCATGGAAGTTTTATCAAAATTTAGGTCAGGATTTGAACCTGTATCTGTAAAACTTTTCATATAGGGAAGCTCTGTGAAAGCTGATACATTTCCCTGGCAGAAAGAGATGTGTCTGCTTCTGCACCGTAGCAGTCTATTTCTAATTTGCAATACTTGATTTCAACCTTCTATTCTATCTTCATAGTATGAATTTTTTTTCACCTAAAAAAAAAAAAAAAAAAGCATGTTTTGAAAATATAGCTCAATTAATTAAGCAGTCTCCCGTTTCTGTTGTTGAAAAAGTTTTTTCAGCTCAGGTAGTATGCCAGTGCTTTCTACTGATCAACTTTCAGAAGAAGTAATTTTAAGCCAAAGTGCCAAATTATGCAGCATGACAGGTCTATAACCCAGGGATAGGAACTGTTTTCCTATGTCTAAGAGTAAATCATCTGATTTCATTTATTTTTTGTATATTTCAGTGCACCATCTTTCAGGTGGGGTTGTGGTAAAAATGTTGTACAAAGCAGCTAGACTCCTTTTTCTTAATCTTTATTTCCTGGAATAGATAAGAGTATATGAAAGTTGCTGTAATTGTAAAGTTTTTGTCCAGTTAGTAGAAGTCTATAAAAAGTCTGATATTTTCTGTAGTATATTATTATTCTTCATCATGTAAATTTGTTCACAGAATACAGAATTGTCTAGGTTGGAAGAGACCTCAAGGTCATCGAGTCCAACCTCTGACCTAACACTAACAAGTCCTCCACTAAACCATATTGCTAAGTTCAACATCTAAACATCTTTTAAAGACCTCCAGGGATGATGACTCCACCACTTCCCTGGGCAGCCCATTCCAATGCCTCACAACCCTCTCAGTAAAGAAGTTCTTCCTGATATCCAACCTAAAACTCCCCTGGCGCAACTTTAGCCCGTTCCCTCTCGTCCTGTCACCAGGCACGTGGGAGAATAGACCAACCCCCACCTCTCTACAGCCTCCTTTAATGCACTTATAAAGAGGGATAAGGTCGCCCCTGACACTCCTTTTCTCCATGCTGAACAAACCCAGCTCCCTCAGCCGCTCCTCATAGGACTTCTTCTCCAGACCCCTCACCAGCTTCGTCGCCCTTCTCTGGACTCTTGAGTACCTTGATGTACTTCTTGCAATGAGGGGCCCAAAACTGAACACAGTACTCGAGGTGCGGCCTCACCAGAGCCAAGTACAGGGGGACAATCACCTCCCTAGCCCTGCTGGCCACACCGCTTCTTATGCAAGCCAGGATGCCATCGGCCTTCTTGGCCACCTGAGCACACTGCTGGCTCATATTCAGCCGACTATCCACCAATACTCCTAGGTCCTTCTCCGCCTGGCAGCTTTCCAACCACTCATCTCCCAGCCTGTAGCTCTGCTTGGGGTTATTGCACCCCAGGTGCAGGACCCAGCACCTGGCCTTGTTGAACTTCATGCAGTTGACCTCAGCCCATTGGTGCAGCCTATCCAGATCCTTCTGCAGAGCCTTCCTACCCTCGAGCAGATCGACACAAGCACCTGATTTGGTGTCATCTGTGAACTTACTGAGGGTGCACTCAATGCCCTCGTCCAGATCATTGATAAAGATATTAAAGAGGACTGGCCCCAGTACCGAGCCCTGGGGAACACCACTAGTGACCGGCCTCCAGCTGGATTTGACTCCATTCACCACGACTCTTTGGGCCCGGCTATCCAGCCAGTTTTTAACCCGACGAAGCGTATGCCAGTCCAAGACACAAGCAGACAGTTTCTTGAGGAGAATGCTGTGGGAAACGGTGTTAAAGTCTTGCTGAAGTTAAGGTAGACCACATCCACAGCCTTTCCCTCATCCACCAAGCGCGTCACTTTGTCGTAGAAGGAGATCAGGGTCGTCAAGCAGGACCTGCCTTTCAGAAACCCATGCTGACTGGGCCTGACCGCCTGGTTGCCCTGTAAGCGCCGTGTGATGACATTCAAGATAATCTGCTCCATGAGCTTCCCTGGCACTGAGGTCAAACTTACAGGCCTATAGTTTCCCGGGTCTGCCCTCTGGACCTTCTTGTAGATGGGCGTCACGTTTGCTAGCCGCCAGTCAACTGGGACCTCCCCCGATAGCACAGGCTGTTGATAAATGATGGTAAGCAGCTTGGCCAGCTCCTGCACTAGTTCTCTCGGTATCCTCGGGTGGATCCCATCTGGCCCCATCAACTTGCGTACATCCAAGTGCCGTAGCAGGTCGTCAACCATTTCTTCATGGATAGTGTGGGCCGGATTCTGCTCCCCATCCCCTTCCACCAGTTCAGGGTACTGGTTATCCAGAGAGCAACTGGTTTTGCCGCTAAAGACTGAGGCATAGAAGGCATTAAGCACCTCTGCCTTTTTCTCATCTTTCATAACTAAGTTCCCCCCCGCATCCAGTAAAGAATGGAGATTCTCCTTAGTCCTCTGTTTTGCATTAATGTATTTGTAAAAACATTTTTGGTTGTCTTTGACGGCAGTCACCAGATTGAGCTCCAGATGAGCTTTGGCCTTTCTAATTTTGTCCCTTCAGTGCCTTTCAACATCCTTATAGTCCTCCCGAGTGGTCCACCCTCTTTTCTAAAGTTTGTAAACCCTCTTTTTCCTGCTAAGCTCAAGCCACAATTCCCTGTTCAGCCAGGCCGGTCTTCTTCCCCGCCGACTCATCTTTGGGCACGTGGGGACAGACCGCTCCCCCACAATTAAGATTTCCGTCTTGAAGAGCGCACAGCCTTCCTGGACTCCTCTGCCCTTCAGAACTGCTTCCCAAGGGACTCTAACTACCAGTTTCCCGAACAGTTCAAACTTGGCCCTCCAGCAGTCCAACACAGCGGTTTTACTGTTCCTCTTCCTGACTTCTCCAAGAATGGAGAACTCTACCATTTCATGGTCACTCTGCCCAAGACAGTTTCCAACCACCACATCTCCCACCAGTCCTTCTCTGTTTGTGAAGAGAAGGTCTAGCGGGACACCTCCCCGGTAGGCTCACTAGCCAGCTGCATCAGGAAACTGAATCTTCCACGCTCTCTAAAAACCTCCTAGACTGCTTTCTCTGGGCTGTGTTGTGCTTCCAGGATATATCTGGGAACTTGAAGTCCCCCACAAGAACAACCGGTGATGATTTCATAACTTTTGTCAGCTGCCTGTAGAACTCTTCCTCAGTCTCCTCATCCTGGTTCGGTGGCCTATAACAGACCCCCACCAGGATGCTTGCCTTGTTGGCCTTCCTGCTGATCCTAACCCATAGGGACTCAACCTTACCATTCCCAGCCTCAAGTTCCGTGATTTCAAAACTCTCTCTGATATAGAGAGCCACACCACCACCCCTTCCATGCTGCCTGTCCCTTCTGAAGAGCCTACAGCCCGACATTGCAGCACTCCAGTCATGAGAGTGGTCCCACCACGTTTCCGTGATGGCAACCAAATCGTAGCCGGCCTGCCGCACGATGGCTTCCCTCCTCCTGTTTGTTACTTATGCTGCATGCATTAGTGTAGATGCACTTCAGCTGGACCATTGCCTTCTCTTCCAGCCTTGCCGTTGTTACCCCTGGCACAGCTCTAACAAGCCTTGTTTCAGCCCTGTCCCCCTTATCACCTAGTTTAAAGCCCTCTCAATGATCCCCCACTCCGCTGCAGAACACATCTGCCCCGGAACCGATCGCCTCCGCAAGTGGACAACAGTCTTGTAACAAGACTGTTACAAGACTGTTTCAGAATTCATTGTTAATTCTGGTAATGCGTATTTCTCTCAAGGGGGAAAAAAGCATTTAATCATGTATCTAAAGAAACCGTTCAAAAATAATTTCATGGTCTGTAAAAGCACCATATTAAGGAAAAAAGGGAATAAATATTAACCAATTTGAAACTTTTTCCTTGAAAGTTGGCCTCCAGTTCTGGGAGTGTTCAGTAATTCTAACTGTTTAATAATGCAGAGAGTTGTGCTTAGAAAATTAGTATGAGTTACCATTTTTCATATTACAAAATAATTGTTTATCATATGCATAAATAATTGCTTACCATATGTTTATTCATGCCAATTTATATTGGTAGCCAGTCAGTAGAGTTTACTTCATGTTTGTTTTTTTTTCTTTAGCTACTTGCAGATAACACACAGAAGGATATGATGATTAAAGTATTGGTTGTTGATTAAAGTATTTTTTCAGATTTTTTTTTCCACTCACCTTTATGATAATGTTTTCTTTTCCCCACAGCAATGCCACACAATCAGTGTCCTGATTTTTCACCAATATCATTGTGATAAATAGAAGATGGCTGAATGCATCCATTCTAGGCCAGTCAGTAGTAAGAAATAAGGTAAGATCTGTTACCTCCACTTATTCTCTACTGTAAGAATGTTTCTTATTCAAAGGTTAATCTAAACTGTCACGCCTTATAGTCATTCAAACAGAACTTTCACAATACAATTTAATATATCATAATATATTATAATACATAATCTGCATATGATCATATATTATAATGCATAATCTGTAGATACAATAGTCAATGGCCTATGCTTTTTGGTTTTGTTCTGAATGTTCTGATTCTTTGCTGATTTCTTCTTCCACTAAAATTAGCTTTATTTCTGTTCATTCTTTAAATACAAAATACTTTACAAAAGACTTTATTGATGTAATTACTAATTTACCCATACTTACACAACATTGTTCTCAAAGAAATGAAAATTACATGATCCAGGTGTCACAGCTGCTTGGGCTGTTATGCAACTATTTCCTAACTTTAACTGCAGGAAATTCTGCACATCCAATGGTAAGATGTGGTCACAAAATATGATGCTAATAGTGTAAGAGCAAGATCCTGACACAATTATTCCAGTTCAAAATCCCTGCTTTCTCCTTTTGCGTTAAATTAAAAAATCCTTGAGATAAAATTGTGTTAAATCTTCAATTTTTCCCACAAAACAATAAAGAAGGACATTTCTTTAAACTGATAAGGCAGTTTTGCAAAGTTTGAAATCAATGTGAATAAGAAACTGGACTGATTCAAAGATGAATTAGATTCAGAAAATGCATAGGATTTAACTGTAGAAAATATCTTTTTAAGTAACAATCATACTCTTAATTGGTGATAATGTGAGACTACTCTGATGACTGGAACCAAATAAGAAACAGCACATTTTCAACCCAGTAGCACAGTGCAGCAAGCTATCTAGAAAGTGATACTGCTATTACAGACTAGAAGAAATGCATTAAATACTTTTCTCAAAGTTCATGTAACATGGATATTACACTTTTGAGACTGTTTTTCCCATAAGTCGCTGCACCAAAGAAAATACAGTGTTTCAAGGATACTCAGTCCTTTACTGTGTAAATAGTAATGAAAGTACTTCCTACATTGTGTTATTATGACAGATAACAGATGAGCCTTATTGCAGCCTGAATACTCACGTATTCACATCAAAGTGTTATTTGTATTTTTGTTTGAGACAGTTGTTCAGTATTTATGTATTGCTGGTCATAAACTGTAGATTTTTAATTGATATGTTTGAAAGATTTTTAGAAATTATGACCTAAAACTGGATATTTCAGGTACTTAAATTTGAAGCCTTTTTGGTTTGCATTTTGCCTATTTAGCTGCTGATGTAAAAATTGAAACGCGGGACTTCCTATTTCATTCTTAATTTAGAAAAACTTTGAAATGCCATCACATTACATAATACGAAATATTTAGAAATGCAACAAGTTGGACAGTAGGGAAGAATAGGACAGTAAACACTAGCTCCCAATAGGGTAAGACAGAAGTGGAGAAAGGAAGTGGTAGAAGAACTTGTGGCTTCCTTCAGTGCACCAATCACAGTGCACTGAGACTGTGTGAGGGATAAACTACAGTTTTTTTAGTTATCTGTGCCCAGTAAGTAAAAAATTTGGACTATTATAAGACATTAAAAAAAAAATGCACCTTGTCTCTTTAGAGGCTGAAAACAAAATTAAGCGAAAAGAGTAATTTTAAGAGAAGATTATTTGTGATCTCAGCAGCTAATCTCTATTATTTTTGGCTGATTATTTGCATGTCCCAGGTCATACTGACTGAGTAAATTAATGGTATGGAGAAGAGTAAACTAATGCCTCAGGAGCTGCCATTGACAAATAGTCTTCCTGAGACTCATTTGAAAATAATGTGGCCATATACGGGCTTTGGCATAAGTAGTTGAAAAAGGATGCTGTCTTTTTTCAAACACTGGTGAAAGCAATGCAATAAAGTGAGAAAGAAGGACACGAAAATTAATACTTTGAAAATTTTAATGTTAAGGTCTATAAATATATATATATGAACACTACCAAACTAAGTCTTCCTAGTTGCATACTAAGAAAGATGGGAAATGGCTTATGTGCCTTGATTCAGCTTGGAATGGCAAATACTCTAATGCCACATTGATAGAAATTTGGGCACTGGTGTTTGCTGTTAGGGTCCCTGAATGTGACTTGAAAGTGTATCTTTCTAATAATTTTACATATCAAGGAAATTTGTAAACTTATTACTTTAACTTCAATTGAACATAAAGACAAACTATGGAATATAAAAGGAGTGGTCAATATAAAACAGAGACATGGTATTTGAGGGCAACAGTTTATGGAAATGAGTGAAAAACTTAGGTTGCTTGCTTCATGGTTTTCTTAAGCATCAATATGTTATAGATATACTTCACATTCCTTGTTTATTTTCTCAATTCTGTATTCCAATGTCTTTTTTAAATAACAGTTGTTTGTATAACTGCATATTAAAACTATAGAAATACTTTAATAGCCTGATTTATATTAAGAAATTTGAGAATAGCCCATCTAGTATCATTTAAAACATTAAAATATGAATGTCTCTTTTAGAACAGTTCTTTTGCCTGAGCAAACAGTAATTTTTCTTAATCACCACACAGTCATGTGTGTTGATAATGACACTCTGAAGAACTAAGAAATCTGCAGGTTTCCACTCCATTTATCATGAATGCTAGGGTAGAAAAAATGGGGAGGACAAAATATGAGAGAGAGAGAGAGAATCGTTTTGGCTGCTGCCACTTGAATACTTGAATACTTAGAAATGATTTAACTTTGCATCTGGGAATTACTTAATTGTATGTAAGACTACATATATTCGATATTGATAATATGGTCATCAGATGTACATTAGATTCACTGTTCTACTAATTAAATTGTCCTTTTTAATCTAAACTATAAACATCTCTCAATCCCTTTCTAATGAACAAAACAGCCTGTTGGATTCTAGGTGAAAATATTCCTAAAATATGTTGTTACAGCATTGTCAAGTTGTAGACTAAGTTTCTCCAGTTTTCCTCTCCAGTTAAGTCCACGGAGTTTAGGAATTTCCAATCTTCAAAAGCAAGTGAATTGAAAGATATTTTAAATAGGAATTAGTAAAAAGCCCGAATTCTGCAAAACGTTGAACATATTTTTCTACCCACAATAGCCAACATAGACAGTGGGGCTGCAGGTTGGTGGACAGGATCATGTTACAAACATATGATTCATCCTTGCTATTTTTTCCATGCCACAGTTATATTACATATTAACTGCATCAGATGAAACTAAAATAGACCAGCTACATGATATTATCTGTGTCATACTTCGTAGCACAGTAGATCTAGTTTACTTTAATCAAAAAGGATATTTTATTAAAAGAAATCAAATATAAAAATGTATCACCTCAATAAATCCCAGTGATCATGCACTTAAAATAATGAAATTCATACCCATATATAGAATGGTGGCTGTGTGAGCACCGTATTTCCATATAAAGCAAATTATCAGTGTGACTGAAGATTTTTTGTTGTTGTTTTTTACACAAGAATCTTCTTCTTCTTAGGCTTTCTCTTTACTCAAGAAGTGAGAAGGCAATGTAAATTCTAAGGCAGACAAAACTATGTAAAAATATACCACCAAAGAACTTTTGTCATAACTAATCAGAAACCATAGGAAATGCTCTTTTATAATACATTCCTTTGCAGCATTGTCATAATGGCTCCTAAATCCTTGAAGCCTAGTTACTATTTTGGTTTAGTGCCTGGGATTTTGTATACACTTTATTAAATCTACATGAACAAATATATAGTGGGACTCAAAATTATCAGTCTTATCATGTAAATTCCTTTTTAAATATTTAAGTAAGCATGATTAGCCCCAGCTGAGGCTCTGTCCCCAAGCTGTTTCCACTATAAAGATTCATGTTTGTTTGTGGTTTTTTTTTTGGAATAGCAGTACAAAATCTAATAGAAATTGCCTCATTTTGTTTTCAAGTCATAAGCAGTCAGAATGTTTTGAACCCTTTCTATTAGGGGAGAGAAATTATTTGATAAAGCTTGTCCATTTAGAAAGAGTTTACAAAATATATTTTGTATGAACATAGCAGGAATCAAGTAACTGGAGACAATTTATTTGCGTACATTTCTCAGCCTTTTCTCAGGATTCCTCAGATCAGAGACATTTTCACCCTTTCTTATGCCTTGAGGACACTTATTTGTCTCTTTGGAATTTTTATTGTGTTTCTCCAACTTTATTTTCCATTTCCTAGGTGATTATACACAGATACACTCACATCCACTTACTAGCACCAAACAAACTGCTTGCTCTTCAGTTTCCAAGCATTTACATTTTTTTGTGTGTTTCTTGTTCAAAAAGAAATAGTAACAGCTTGCTACATGTATCCCGAATAAAGAGTGACTGTCAGGTTTATCATACTAATTCTCTCCCCAAAATAAAGCCTTATGTGTTGTCTGGGGAAGAACTGTTTACACCATTATTTTAGAAACTAAGCTGAGACTATAAAGTACATTTCACATAGAATTTCTAGCCAAAATGAAATGTGTACACTAAGGTCTGAAAGAAGTACAGTACTTAAGTCATTTTTCTCCCTTCATTGATGAGAATGTGCGAAGAATTTTAACGCATAGTCAAGGCCTGTATCAGTCTTGGAAGGAGTTGTACTCATGGTCCTCCTAATCATTTTTGTTCCCTGGTCTGGCAGAAAGATTCTCACAAAAAAAGGGCTCACCGATAAGTCGTTATATTTGCTTATAGGTTACATCAGAGTCTGTTTAAAATGTCGCGGTAAGAAAGACAATGGAGAGTGGACATAACAAAGTGCCTTCTATTTAGATCATCATTTGTAATGTGGAGTTTCAACGCTGAGACTGCAGTTAGTTGGAAGAATTTCTGATGCTTTAAGAAAAACTTTGAATGATTCAAAGGACTTGAGATCTCTAGCATTGAAGAATTAATCATTGAATAATAAGGAAAAAATATTATTCTTCTCAGAAATATTCATACAAATCTCTGCATTTCCTG